AGAGTATTTGAGCGCCCTCATTAAAGGAGTTTTGCCTCGGTAAAATGCATTGATGTTGGCGTTGTGCTGGAGCAAAGCCTCCGCAAGACCAATGTTGTCGTATTTGACGGCCAAGTGCAACAGATTGCTGTTCTGAAATTTGATGTTGTATTTCCAGATGCTGGGCTGCAGTTTAAAATCAAAGTCTTTGCATGATTTTGCGAGGGCAAATAATGCACTACCGTCCAAATACGACACGATCCACAGCAAAAGCTCGTTGGGCAGGTCCCTGATGTTTGGCTGTAATGTATTAGCTCATAGGTAAACTCAGTAAAACGAATTGAAACAGACCATGATTGGACAGCAGATTGGAGCTAGGAGGCAAACGAAATGTAGATGAGGGTGAGGCGTGAAAGTTGGACGTGGGGAGGCCTTTATATACTCGCCTCAGCTAAATTCCATGGTCAGCTAGGAGTGTAGTCTGTCAGTCCGCTGAGAGGTGCGTAGCAATCACAAAGGGTTGACAACAATGCTCAGGCGGAGTTGTAGAATCTCTGGAGTCTAGCTCCTGGGAACGCCAAAACTGTTCCTGGTAGTGTGTCGATGGCCTGGGAACCGAATCTATCTCTACGTATCCACATCTTGCACCTAGCGCCATAAGAACAAATCACAACCTATCACGCACTTCGAAGTTCATAGGTAACCCAGAATCTAACGCAGCATTTGTCGACTTCGCTGCCTACCGCAGTAGCCAATCTGTTCGCCAATGTATGGTCACCGCGGTCTACAGCCACACGTGAAGCTGATTGCAGCAGTGGTCTGGAATGATATCCCTTCACGCAGGCCACTGATCGGCCGTATACCGGCGCATACTGCGTGTGAAAGCATTCTTCGACGTACCGACTGTTTCAAGGAAGTGTTCCATGCCAGCAGCCACGCAGCCATGTAGGTAAGGAGCCCACGGTGATGGCATATAAAGCTGACGAGGGGACGCTGCAGTGATTGCCCAACACCACCACAATCCGAAGCATTTTCTGCCTTTGAAGACCACCGCAATGACTACCATGATTTGGAATCCATTTTCTGTCTGCGGGATCCCTCACAGTGGTCCTGGCTCCTGTTGTGGCATGACCAAAAAAGGCGAGTCATGCAAGAACTCGATCAAAGTTGAAGACACCAAGATCGGCCATCAAAAGTTGGCCACTCTCGCTAGAGAGCCGTTTGACTTGTCAACGTTGCAGTCGAAGCTCTGTGATGTCGCCAGAGGCTTCCTCTGTGCGAGATGGCACCGGCAACGGCAGGCCGACCAAGTTGGCCAGCAGTGGTATGAAGCCGCCGTCCGCAACCAGGCGCGAGTACCACATGGCTCCAGAATGGCTTCTCCGTCAGTCATTGTACATCGGGGCCAGCGTCAGACATCGTCAGCCTCCAGGCGACGCCCTGCATCAGACAACACCCGGTCATCACCACCACCGGTGCCCCTGTCAACCAACCCCGAGCCAGTGCAGCCATTCAATCCATTTGTGACTTCTGCAACGCTGCGGACGAACAATGTTCCATGGCGCGTTTCGCCGACCCGACCAGCCATCCTCTCATTGGCAACTAATATCCGGGCGGGTGTCCAAGACTTGACGCTGCAGAGTCTCAGGCCGAGCCAAGCGGTCGACAGCATCCACGTCGACAGCATCTACTGTGTGTTCTGCCAGACCGAGGATGAAGACCATGCGGACGAGAGCGTGATCTTGCACTGCGGTCAGTGCACATCGCTCTGTCATCTGTCGTGCGCCGAAGAATGGTTGGAAAAGCGAGATACAGGGTTTGGCACGTCGTGTTGTGTGTGGTAAGTGTGGATGACCTTATTTCTGAGACGACCAAGATACTGATGACCGCAGCCGAAACGAAGGAGCCCTAGATGCCATCATTCGCCCCTTACGAATCCCCTCGTCGGATGCCGAGACATATTCCGTCCACGCGGCAAGCGATCCATCTCCCACTGGTGGGCCCCGTCGCTCAGCCAGACTAGCAGGAACTTATCTACCGCGACAACCTTCCACCGCTGCACCGCTTCGCCGATCGGCACGACTCAATTCCACTCAGCGTAGGTGAGCACAGGTTACAGCCGTTATAGCCGTGATATACAATTTTGAAGCAAATTAGCAAGAAATGAAATACCGATGGTTAAACTCCGAAGTACAACGCGACCGTTTCATCTCGTAAGTGCTGGACACCAATACACCATAGCCAGTAGCTATTGACTGCTTCGCTGATTCCGAAAATGTCCGAGCTCGAAACTATAGTGGTAGATAAAAGTTCTGTTTTCATGATACCTAACGGCGGTGACCAAAAAACAGAGAAGGATTCATCTCAGTGGAGCCGTGTCGCGTGAAGGCGGGGATTGTTGGCAGAAAAGCCACAGGCAAGAGACTGACAAACTCTCGTGCCTGTTAACTAACCCTGGGAACCAATATGTTGGCCCTGGGAACCTCAAAAGCATTTCTAGGGGCTGTTTATCCCCTAGGAAATCCTCTTTAGCTCCTGGGGCTATTTCTATTTCTAGGAAAATGAGATCTAGCCCTGGGATCTTCACTCTACATTCCTGACTGCAAACGAAACTAGCTCTGGGAATACATTGACCAGATCTGGGAGCTGTGGAGCCCCTGGGAGCTTACTTTAGGGCCCTAGAGTCACTCTCTTGCCTTCTGAGATCGCAGAAAGCCCTCACAAAACACCTTCACCAATCCTGCGCACAAATCTGCGCCATTCGATCCCCCCCAGAAGGCCAATTCATCGCCCCAGGAATCAACAAGACATCAACAGGAACGCGGCTTTGATTCCCCGTGGTGGTGATAGCAAACCCCAGAAGCTACATCGGGTTTCCTGGGGGCTACGTGGCTCCTAGAAGCTGCTTCTTTGCTCCCAGAAATGTTTCAGGAGCCCCTGGGAGTAAGATAACCCCCAGGGTCAAGAGATGAGCTCCTAGCACTGATCGAATCGTCAATAGGAGCGTGAGAAGTTTCTTTATAGTAACAGTGGATAGTCTTACGAGCCGCGAATAAAACCCGCGTAGTTGACTCTACGTTCACACTGGCCTACGGTTTCTAAATATTACGTATCGATGGCTTCAAATCGCGTTGACTCTGAATATTCGACGTTGAGTATCAGTTATGCAACACAGATCCATCGCCGAGCGGAATTCAATAACTCATAGGATATTCATCCTACAGTCATTCTCGAAATCGGCTTCACCAATACACACTTACAATCTCTTTCTCGGCCCCACCGCCAAGGCTTTAGCGCAGATCATTTATTGAGCGGGCCGCATTAAACTAAGGGGAGCAGTAAAGTGCGCCGTGTATGATCCAAGTAATGGGCCCCGTAATATTACGTTACTGTACTGCGTATGACAAGGAAAGTGGTGGAATTCCATGGAATTCTTTAAGTGGATGGCTACAGATCATGTGGGGAAGGCCACCTTGTAACTTGAAGATCTGCTGGGAGACGTCGTTCTCCTTCTCTTCCTCCTCTTCTGCAAGGTGTGCTACAGTGATTCTCGAAATCGCCTTGACCAATATACACTGAGAAACTCTTTCCTGGCCCCACCGCCAATGCATTAGCGCGGAAAACTTATTGAACAAGCCGCTCCAAATTGAGGGGCAAGACAAAATGCTCTGATATGGTCCTGAATCTTGCCACCTAAAATAACGTGCAACGCTTTTATTCTTTGATTCTTGAACGATAAACCTTAAATTCAACAGTATTATATGGCGGCATAATATTGCGGCCCTCAATATGATGCGGCTTATTCTATAAGTTTTCCGCGCTAATCAGTACCTTGGCGCTGAGGCCAGGAAAGAGTTGCTCAGTGTGTATTGGTCAAGCCAATTTTGAGAATGAGTGTAGTCATATGTAATGACTCGGTTCTAGATCCGTCGATCTTATGCGATTGAACATGTGGCTGTCTCGATTGAAAATTTATGACTATTACACTGGCATTGTCCCGGGCTGAATCGTTTCAAGGATGGTTCGAATTACCACATGATACATATCTGTAACGATAGCTAACAACAATCATTGGCTGGGACAATTGACAGTTTCATTTGCTGTTTTGATACGGTATCGTTTCGTTATATTGACACTATCGAATCCGCATGCGGTACCGACTATCGCGTACAAAGTGGACTCAGCTGACCCAGGCCACGTCTCAATACAAGCACGTTACGCTGCATATAACAAGTACACATTGGGGAGCGAAGGAGCCTACACCATCAGCTACACACCACCGTGGCATAGATCATCATATCCTTTTCTGAACCAGTCAATTGAAAAATATGGAAACGGGGATTCAAGCATATATTTTGAAATTTAAAACACTGACTTTCAGTTGGAAAATGTTGTCGAGAGGCGTTTTTAAAACCCATCAAACGTGAATGTCTACTTTGACAGGGCCATCAGATCATACTATTATCTTTCAGTATACCGCGCCCTGGATTGTTGACACTCGGTTAAAACTTGAGACGTTTCTTTATCGTCTCCTTGCAAGATGTCAGGCCTGGAAGTGATCGGCGGCATCTCTGCTGTCATATCCATAATCGACGCCTCGGTTAAGATCTACGACAGTGCTCGGAAGGACATTAAGTTGTCTAAGACATTTGACACCGTTGGACGGCGACTCCCTATTATCCTCGATACACTCAACACATGCAAGAGCAATCTAGAACTGAGCAAAGACACCATGTCCGAGGATGCCTGCAAAGCCTTGGAGAAGACTCTCGACGTCTGTGGTGAAAAGGCCCGAAATTTGAGAGAAATATTTGAAAGGACCATGCCTGGTGAAAAGGATACGTGGGAGAAACGATACTTCAAGGTCGTTCGGAGACTCGGTAAAGGAAGCAAGGTCGAAGATCTAATGGTCGCGATCACCGAAGACGTCCAACTCATTGTCAACGAACATGCCGTAAATTCCGCCACACCGGAACAAAAAATCATGCTTGAAGATATTGTCAATGAGATGAAGTCTCTCCCATCCTCATTACCTGAGGAAAAAAGCTCGGCCATGACTTTCGACAGTGGCGGCGGGGAGATGACGGCCTACGTCCACAGGGGTAGTGGGACGCAGTATATCCTCAGCGGCAGTGGGAAGCAGTATAATGCTGAAACCCAATATATTGGTAAGGACTGAGCACACCCCCGATGTTTTATTTTTCTATGATAGCAGAAGGGGGTTTGCGTCAGCTAGTTTTGTTGCGATGAATGTAGTACAAACTGCTTCATTTTGTTTGCAGAATGCACGAGTTGTATGTCTTTCCAAGGTCTCGGATTTCTTTTATGAACTCAACTGCCCACTCAAAACTAGTGAAATGTGATTGCTGACTGCTTTTGCTAGCCATCTCTCAGCAGAAACAAGATTTTAGTTTTCGGGGATCTGTTGGCTTCTGTATCGGCCAAGTGCCTCATATCCCCTCGGAACTCTTCATCGGCCGCACCTCCGAGTTTGATAAGATGGCAGATATTTTACGACCAGGTAACGAGTCTCCAAAGCAACGGCGCCTAGTTCTGGGCGGTATGGGTGGTATCGGAAAGACGCAGCTTGCCATCGCTTACGCAGAACGCCATCGTAAATTCTATGACTCGGTTTTCTGGTTTGATGCAGCATCCGAAGCTGCACTAAAAGACAGTTTTCAATCGATCGCCAACCTAGTCTTCGACATACAGGAACCTGGGCTCCTTGAGGGTAAAGAAATTGTGATACGTGTACATCAATGGCTGTCTGACAAGAAAAATATTGGATGGCTGTTGGTCTTTGATAACTATGATGACCCCAGCCAGTTTAAGATTGACCTCTATTTCCCCCCCGCTTCTCATGGGGCCATTATTGTCACCACACGACGCCCCGATCTTGTCGCAGGAGGCGTTGTCCAGATAAAGCCTTTTGAGAATATCGAAGAGAGCCTTGCAATCCTCCAAACCAGATCAAAACGAGAGAATATTCAATCCGGTACGCGAAGAACAAATATGTATCTAGTACCCCCTAACACTATCCATAGATCCTCATGCAGGGCGACTCGCGAAGCGACTCGGAGGCCTTCCTCTCGCTTTGGCTACCGCCGGGTGTTATCTTCGACAGAGTCCCTTCACTTTCGAACGATATCTTCAGGAGTACGAGAAACGCTTCAATATTGATCCCCGCCGCCCCGTCAAGCTCCAGGAGTATCAGAAGCGCACACTCTACACGACCTGGGATTTGTCGTACGATCTCCTGAAAAAGGAGGATCTGGACGCGGCAAACCTACTGAAATTGTTAGCCTACTTCGGTAACCAGAGCCTTTGGTACGAGCTTTTCCATGCGGGGCTTGCCGATAATTCTCCCGAGTGGCTACGGGAAGTGACCGCAGACGACGTTAACTTCGACGGAGTGATGAGAATCCTGACTGAATACTCTTTTCTGGAGTTTCAGCCGACGTTAGGATCATGGAGTATGCATAACTGCGTTCACGACTGGACAGTAGCCGCGCTAAATAAGGATATCGATGCACAGCATTATTGGTACGCCTTTGACTGCATTGATGCATCCCTGAAGGGGGTCGAAGTGGATTCATTTGGATACGTCTCTTACTCCCGCTTGGCTGATCATGCAACACGGCTAGTGCAACATCCGTTCCTCCAAAATGATATGATTTCCAGTTCTATGCCTGATCGACTCGGCTTGGTCTCACGCGTTTCACAGCTACTCAAAGACCAAATTCGGTTTGTTGCAGCGGAGGAGATGTACCAGCGAGCACTGGCAGGCTCCGAGAAGACACTGGGTCCAGACCACATATTCATCCTCACGACAGTCAATAACCTTGGGGGTCTCTACTCCGATCAGGGAAAGCTGAAGGAGGCGGAGCAGATGTACCAGCGAGCACTGACAGGCTACGAGAAGGCACTGGGTCCAGACCACACATCCACTCTCGCGGCAGTCAATAACCTTGGGAGTCTCTACTCCGATCAGGGAAAGCTGAAGGAGGCGGAGCAGATGTACCAGCGAGGACTGACAGGCTACGAGAAGGCACTGGGTCCAGATCAAACAACCACCCTCACGACAGTCAACAACCTTGGGAATCTCTACGCCGATCAGGGAAAGCTAAAGGAGGCGGAGGGGATGTACCAGCGAGCACTGGCAGGCAAGGAGAAGGCACTGGGTCCAGATCACACATCCACCCTCGACACAGTCAACGGCCTTGGGAGTCTCTACTCCGATCAGGGAAAGCTAAAGGAGGCGGAGCAGATGTACCAGCGAGCACTGGCAGGCAAGGAGAAGGCACTGGGTCCAGATCACACATCCACCCTCAACACAGTCAACAACCTTGGGATTCTCTACAGAAATCAGGGCAAGCTAAAGGAGGCGGAGCAGATGTACTAGCGCGCACTAGCAGGCTACGAAAAGGCTCTCGGTCCCGATCATACGTCCACTCTTCATACAGTCCATAACCTTGGAAATCTCTACTCTGATCAGGGGAAGCTGAAGGAGGTAGAGGAGATGTACCAGCGAGCACTGATAGGCTGTGAGAAAGCCCTTAGTCTCGATCATACGTCCACTCTTCTTATAGTCAACAACCTTGGAAATCTCTACTCTAATCAGGGGAAGCTGAAGGAGGCAGAGAAGATGTATCAGCGAGCACTGGTAGGCTACGAGAAGGCTCTTGGTGCCGATCACAATAGGACGCAGCAAGTTATGCAGAGATTAAATACGTTAAGTATTGCGAATTGAAAATAGTCTATTACTGTCCCCTGCCTATAATGTACATAGCACATAGTTACTTTGGTCTTCTGGTTTCTTATGGTCGTAGTTGGTTCAGTGCATGATCTCGCTTTGTTTAAAGCGAAACCCCATTTACCACGTACACAGCATCTGAAGAGACTCACATGCTAATTCGTCTAATCTCTAACTACCAGAATGGATGGCTGAAGGGAGATTTTGGGGGCGACCTGGTATTGCTGAAAAACGGTCGCAGTCGTGTATGGTAGCAACGAGAATTTCAGCTCCATATCGTGCAAGCTATCATAGAGAGTTGATGCTACAGTATCAGGCAGGTCTCCTCGAAACAAGTCAAAGGGGGATCCGGATCCCATGGTGTTGGATTTGCAGAGGTGGACGATGTGGTTCCATGGAATTCCACGAATTTTCTATTCATACGCAGTACGTAATATTACGTAGCCAATTACTTGTATCATACACGGCGCATTTTACTGCTCCCCTTAGTTTAATGCGGCCCGCTCAATAAATGATCTGCGCTAAGGCCTTGGCGGTGGGGCCGAGAAAGAGAGTGTAAGTGTGTATTGGTGAAGCCGATTTCGAGAATGACTGTACAGGATGTATCGAAGATGCAAGCGACCTGATCACCTTCTTCCAAGCCAACAACCTACATAGTTGCCTCCCCCGGGGGACGGCGACTTACTGGTCTCTGAACGACCCGGGGAGGAACTCCACCATTGACCAAACGGTAACGAACGGACCAGACCTGCTTATCAAATGCCATCTATACCACGAAAACTACGGATCAGACCACCGGGCCACGTACTCGGAATGGAATCTCCAAGCTCAGCGTAAGCCAACCGCTAAGGCAAGGAAGGCTTTTGACCGAGCGGAGTGGAATAAGATTGGCGAGGAGGTGGTACAGCAGATCGGCCTATGCAAAGAGATCAAAACACGACCGGTACTAGACGAGATGGTTCAAAAACTCACAGAGGCGACAGCGGGGGCCGTGGACCAGTTTACACCTAATACACGCCCGACGCCATACTCTAAAAGGTGGTTCACCCCAGACCTTAAGGTACAACAAACCAAGGTCAACCAGCTGCGCAGGAAATGGCAGGAGAGCTGTGCCGAGCTTGGGCGAAAGCACTCCTCTTCTATAGCCCTCTTCCGAGAGATGCAACAAAGACGACGGGCATGGACCCGGACTATTGAGAAAGCTAAAGCATCACACTGGAAACAATTCCTAGATGAGGCAGGGGAAGGGAAACTATGGAAAGCTGCCACCTACATGAAACCTCGAGAAGCCTGGGGGTGCATCCCAGCGCTGCAGGTCGGCACCAACGAACTCACTGGGAATGAAGAGAAGGCACAAGCTTTCCTAGACTCCTTCTTCCCCGAAACGAATACTCCCCAGGATAGTCCACCAACCTTGGCACCTTTAGAACTCCCATGGCAACCCATCACCGAGCTTGAAATTCAACGTTCTCTCCAAGCCGCTAAAGGAACCACCGCACCGGGAGATGACGACCTGCCAATGCTCGTGTGGAAGCAGCTATGGAAACACCTTAAGAGTATCATTACTAGGATTTTCACCGCATCCGTGTACCTAGGCTACCACCCGAAACGATGGCGGAGTGCGAAGATCGTGGTGCTACGGAAACCTGGGAAACCGAATTACTCGATCCCCGGAGCCTACCGCCCGATCTCACTTCTTAATACGCTAGGCAAGCTTCTCGAGGCAGTAGTAGCCCGACGACTTTCATATCTTGCAGAAAAGCATGGTCTGCTTCCGGACACCCAATTCGGTGGGCGTCCAGGAAGAACCACTGAACAAGCTCTCTTAGTGCTCTCTAACGCAATCGACCGGGCGTGGTATAAACATAAAGTCGTAACTCTCATCTCATTCGACCTAAAAGGAGCCTTTAATGGGGTCAACAGGACGAGCCTGGATGCCTGCCTACGGGCTAGGAGGATCCCCACGGTAGTGAGAAAGTGGATCGCGAGCTTTATGAGCGACCGCTACGCTAGCATAGGATTCGACGACTTTCGCACAGAGGTGGCACCGCTAGCGAACGCAGGACTCGCACAAGGATCACCTCTCTCCCCTATCCTATTTGCTTTCTTCAACTCCGACCTAGTTGACCAACCCGTCACCATCCACGGCGGCGCATCGGCCTTCATTGACGACTACTTCCGCTGGCGAGTAGGTCGCTCGGCCGAGGAGAATCTAGCCAAGATACAGTCCGAGGATATCCCCCGTATCGAAGCATGGGCTCGACGAACCGGGTCATGCTTCGCAGCCGAGAAAACCGAGCTCATCCACCTAACCAGAAAGAAAAGGGAACACCTACAGGGACAAGTCATCGTGAATGGGGCGGTCGTCCCGCCATCGCCGACCGCCAAGCTGCTGGGCGTGATCTTCGATCAGGAGCTGCGGTGGAAAGAGCACGTACAACAAGCCATCAAGCGCGCAACCAAAGTGACCATCGCCTGTGGCGGGCTACGACACTTGCGCCCAGAACAGATGCGACAGCTCTACCAAGCATGTGTCACCCCAGTGGTGGACTATGCCTCGTCGGTCTGGCATGACCCGCTGCGGGACAAGACTCACCTCCGACAGTTGAATAGCGTACAAAGGACCTCACTGATCCGCATTTTATCGGCATTCAGAACAGTTGCAACCACAACCTTGGAAGTGGAAGCACACGTTCTTCCCACCCACCTACGACTCCGCCACCGAGCCCAGAGGACCATCGCTAACCTCCACACTCTACCGCGTGACCATCCCATCTGGAGCACGCTTGTACGAGCCCAGAAGCGTAGAAACAATATAGGGTCATACGCTCGCTTCCCATTGGCGGAAGCGTTGAAGACCATGAGCCTCGAAAGGCTAGACGAATTGGAAACCATCGATCCACGACCGTTACCACCGTGGCGTCTCGACCCCTTTGCTGAAATTGAGATCGGAACTGACCGAGAGACCGCGACACAAAAAGCCGAGGCTGTAGGCTCAACATCCGACATTATCGTCTATTCAGATGCATCTGGCCGACAGGACCACTTAGGTGCCGCTGTCGTGGCACTCGACGACAACCTAGAGGTCACAGAGGCCCAACAGATCCAAGTGGGACCGATGGACCGCTGGTCGGTCCACGTAGCGGAGCTTATAGGCATTTTCCACGCGATAAGCACAGTCTTTAAGATAGCCCACCAGCGATCAGGAACGGCAGACAAACAAACAACAGCGACGATCCTGTGTGATAGCAGGTCAGCCTTACAGGCGATCCATACCGCGAGAAATAAATCAGGACAACGGATCGTCCACGCGATCCTTCAAGCGGCCACCGAGGTTCAAGCAGCGGGAATTACGCTTCGCCTTCAATGGATACCAGGCCACTGTGATAACCCCGGAAACGACGCCGCAGACCGATTAGCTAAGGACGCCGCGTGCCCTGGCAAGACACATCCCTTCCGCCCTCTACTCACCAGGGAACGGGCGCACATCCGCAGCAACATCTTAGCGCAGTGGGAGCAAGAGTGGAAGTCATCCGCTAAGGGAGCTCATTTGCGGAGTATCGATAAGACCCTACCGGCGATCTACACCAGAAGGCTGTACGGAAACCTGCCTAGGAACCGAGCGTACCTACTGACACAATTACGCACGGGCCACAACTGGTTGTCCACCTACGCCAAGACCTTCGGCTTCCGCGACGATGATCAGTGCGAGTGCGGCGCGCAGGAGACAGTCGTCCACGTGCTGGTGGACTGTCCAAGACTGAGGAAATCGCGAAGGGACTTAAGGAGAGAAGTTGGGGACGCGTTTAACAGCGTGTCGAGTCTGCTGGGAGGCTCAAAAGAAGGTGAGGGAGGTAATCCAGACACCGTCTCGAGGACTAGGACGGTCAACGCCGTGCTGGACTTCGCCGAGGCGTCACAACGGTTTCAAAGTCGCGCGCCACGAGGGTAGCCTAACAATGGGAGCGGCAATTAGGCCACGATAGGCCTTGACGAGGCTCTAAGTTCGTTTTCAGGAAGTGGAACACTCTACATGTACGTACATGGATATATATAGTTGTTGTATCCCGCATATCGTTCGCGAGGGGTCGGGGTAAATGAAATCATCATCATCATCATCGACTGTACAGGATGTCATCAATCAATCATAGATAGTTCATAGCGATTTCCAGATCTCCAGAGCTCCCGGAAATCATGAAGCATAATTTGGATCAACCTGCAGGAATAGTTAGAGTGGATATGAACGTTCCTCGATCAATCTATCCAGTTCATGGGTTATGGCAAGGCTTGTTTGCTTGCAACCCCACCATCCTCATTTCTAGGTTTGAGTAGGGGGAAAACGGCTTTTCCAGGAGAGGTATGTACACTGTAAATAATCATGTACCTAGTAACAGATGTGGGCCTCACCGTCCCACTCTATCTCTTGTGGACAAGTCTCTAGTGTTGCATATCTCTAAGGAGCCAACAGTAAGCCGGGAAACTATCCCATAGCCGTGTCACAGGACCGCCCCCCACCCTCTCGGGTAGGGGGTGTCCCTCAGCCATAATGCAATTCTCAGCCATAATGCAAATTTTCAATTTCTTCAACTTCTAGCTCATTTTCTAGGCGTATAAGGTCCAGGATCCATGAAATAAAGCCCATCAATAGCTTCATTAGCGAATAATGTATCATCCTCCTCATTTCCAGCTGTTTCCTCCAATTCCTTAGCCGCCAAATCGGCCGCCATTTTCTCTGCGTCTTTCCGCCAAGCACGAAGCTTCGACTCATCTTCCTTCTCACACCTACGCTGTACTAGCCTATTTCCTGAAATTGATGAAAGAGGGCTCTTCGTAGCTCCCTTTACCCAGCGCTTGCTTGTTGGCTTTTTCCCAGGCGTTTTGTGGCTAAGGGCGCGTGTAAGGCTCATCTCTGCAAGTTCCGCATTATACAGAGACGATTTTCCGGCATCAATTGCGCGCCGTACGTGCTTCCGAATTTTTCGTAAATCAGGGGTCGGGTCATCAAGTAGTGGGAAAACCGTCTTCTCTAATTTTTCAATGCGCGTATAAGAATTGGGCGGAGAATTGGTCGCTGAACTTGGGAATTCGCGGGCGGGTGACGGCTCATCGTACATGCGTAAGATCTCTTCGTCCGAATACCGCCCTAAATTATCCAAAACTTGTTTAGGATCTAGTGGCCAGATACCAGTAGATCTAAACGAGGTTTGGATAGTTTTGGATCGTAGGGCGCGGTGTCGGACAGCATCAATATTGCGGAAGAAGTCGCGTTTTTCGTTGCTTCCACCCCACGCTACAACTTCAGTATTTGCCATTTTAAAATGATGCTTTAGGCTTAAAAAAGCCTCAGCATCAAGTGGCTGACATAGATGAGTCGTGTGAGGCATAAAATACCAAGGAATAATCAAGTTTTCCTTACAAAAATCGAGAAATTCGACAGTTGTATGTGATGTATGATTATCCATTAGCAAAAGCCTCGGTCGCCCACGTCGTACGCGGTTTTTTGTAGCTTCATGAAACGAGCAGAGCCATCGATAGGCAGTCTCTCTATCTGTCCAGCCACTAGACGTCAAATGGATGATTTTGTATGCCGAAGAAGAGGTTGATATATTGCTATACCAGTCTTCCATGTGGACGCTTCCTTTAACTAGAAACCACGGAAACATCACCCAGCCATCAGCGGCGATGCATTCAATGCCGGTAATAGTTTCACCTCGATCTCCAGTAGCAATACTAGCAGTTTGACGCGTAGAGACAACGTGTTGGTTAATTCCTTCGCCATTTTGGAAGCCAGTTTCATCCCAATTGTAGATCTCATGAGGTTCGAAATCATGCTCACGATAGAGATAAGCAAGCCTATCATACCAATGGCTAATAACTCCAGGATCCTCGGCTTGAATTCGTAATGCTTCCTTCGGTTTTTGGGTTATAACCTTGATGTGTGGAGGTAGACGCGCTATAAGACGATAGCTATACATTGGGCCGACAACTCTCTCCGAGCCTGCCATTTTCAATAGGCGATTTGCAGCACTTTCAATGCCTTTTGCAAGGGGAGGTGTATACAAAGAATTTAGCACTTCGATCCAGCTAATTAAAGCTTTTTCCTGATTCGAATTCAATGCATTGTTGGTGGTAGGGCGATCGGAGAGAGATGTCCGTCCGTTTTTGCGACAGCGAAGCTTCGAATAAGACACGCGATAATGGTCCGCAGCCTTACGTAGGGATGAAAATTCTTGCGAATCATAAGCATCTAATGCCTTAGCTAGCAGACCCTCTTCATCATAAGCTTTTTTTGGCATTTTTTGGTGGGTAGAAATACGCGTAAAGTTGAAAAAGTAGGAAATTTGCATTATGGAGGTTAATTGCATTATGGCTGTGGGACACCCCCTACCCGAGAGGGTGGGGGTCGTCCTGTGACACGGCTATGTATTTCTTTGGTCGCCGCCGTTAAGTATGATGAAAAAAGCACTTTTATCCACCGGCACTCGGTTTCGAGCTAAGACATTTTCAAAATCAAGCGAAGCAGCCAATAGCTTTTGGCTAAGGTGTAATGGCATCCAGCAGTTGCGAAGATGAAACCGCCGCGTTGTGCTCTTTGGAGTTTAACGAGGGGTTGGCCGATTGACAAGCAAAGCACCACGCCAGGCCTCCGAACCCTTTGTGAGGCTGGCAATAGAAGCCATTCTGGGCAGTTGAAGCGGAGTGACGCCAGCGAGCACTTGTCCTTGGAACGAAAGAGCTCTGGCGGCGACGGTGGAGTAACTCGTTCGGGTGGAGTTGCGGGGTTCGCAGCTTTCGACATAGATGGGCGACGGAGGGTTGGGAAAGGCTTCTTGCCCGCCCCGGGGCCTAGCATGTTATACAGTACTGGTGGTGGACTGGTCGGTCGGGAACTACAGTCATATTCCGCAACGTACAGTAAGTCTCGAAAACCTGTGTCACCACTTTCATTCTTCGATTGTTTCTGGAACCCTGATGCCAAGATATACTAAACTCTATGAGTGATAGCTCCGGAACAGCAATATCCCTGTATATTCTGTTGAAATTACACGATGAATTTACTGGGAAGCATGTATGTCAAGGCCAGCGAGGTTGTTTAAGCCTGATCTCTCTCAATAAGAGAGAGATCCTATATAAATGAAGAGCATTTCTCCTGAACTATACTCTCAATGGTAGGTTTAATGCGTATCACTAGATTCATGCCTGAAAGACTGGGCATTACATGCCTGGAGCACCATGAATCTCAACATAACGTAATTCACTAGTGAGCTGCCCACACTAGCGAGCTGCGCAGTCCGGAACACATAGTAAATGCGATATATGTTACACTTTTATCTTAACAACCACGTATCTGTTCTATTTTGTTACTTACCGATAGCTATTGATAAGACTTATTAGTACTGTGTATTAATTTCAAGGACATCGAAAAGCCGGGTGATAATCATTTCAAAAAAATACCGAAAATTACGTACATAAAAGCTCGATATTAATATATCTTAATAATTATGACATAGAAACTCCTTAAACTCAGGTAAAGTGCTAGATACTATATAGAGAGTATTAGGGCATAAGGAAAGATTCCTATAGACCAATGTTGTTGAGATATTAAGTTGTAATTCATCGCATTTACTATGTGTTCCGGACTGCTCGCTAGTGTGCGCAGCTCACCAGTGAATTACGTTAGTCATTTATACGGTATCTAATTGCATAAATTACATAGCTCATGTTTGGTAACTGTAACGTATATTCCTAAGCGACCGTCCAGCGAATGAATGGTGGGCCAAATACATTATAGGGCACGGAGAAGGACTGATCATTATGACGATATAGAATCAACCGCAACATATATAGAGTCGAACCCATGAAGCCCGCAGCATATTTAGCAGTTGCTATAAGACACTACTTCACCATATCGTCATCGAGCCCTTACATCCTCATACCAAGCACGAATATTATATTACTATGCCTACAGCAAAATTTGTCAACGACAATATCACAGTGTCGAAAGAGTGCGATGTGAAGTTGACACTCGATGATGAAAATAATACAGATGAACCTTTAACTTTACTTTGCCCTGGAGAGACTAGAAAGAATTTCACTGGAAAAGTTGTTAGTATTGAACCTTATGAGACCTATTCTACAAGGTCCTGGCGGCTTTCAGAGGATGTGGACTTTGCCGCTAATAAGGATGTTACTGTGACGGATCAGAGTAAGCACGCTATTCAAAATGATTATGAGTAAACACTGACTAGCTAACTAAGCGCTCGAACAAGGAAATAAGGTGGTTTGGTTCGGTTAAAGCAAGGATGGAGCAAAAAGCTCGTGGGTGTATGTAGGCGTTCTGGTTTTAACTTCAGCTAGATACGCAATTTATCAAATTAAATATCAGTGAATTCAATACTGCCAAGAAACAGATCTGGCAAGGTCTGCTATAGGCCTAAAAAAAGAACAGTTTGAGTAAAGTGGTGATATTTGTTTCAAATTTGCCGCACGGTATTCGTGACTCATACTGTCTTTCTTGACTATGCGAGGCCACCAATAAACGGTAGTAAATGACAAGAAGGTTCTGGAAGCTCATCTTGATCCCCTGGCTGAACTTTTTAACAATACCCCTTCAGCTTGTTTTCAGGGCAATAATGAACCTTACAGTGTTAATTTGCAGATTTAGTTTGAAGTGGGGAAGGTAGTTTAAGTACATAATTTACGATCCATCCCAAGGTGATTTTAGCTAGTCGGCGCTCTCTTGTATGACTAGAAGCTACGTTATAGATCAAAATACATGTACACAGGAAATGGGATTCTCAATATTCAAGACAATAGATCTTATTGGTTCCAGCCGTCAAGGATCAATGGGCCTTGGAAACTTGAGTTATGTAAGGACTATAAATATATGACAGAACAACGCTCCAAAAGAGAAAGTGTTTACTGAGTGTAGCTGCAGCCGTTGGGGTTGGAGGTCTCCTCAACACGGGCGGCAATGCCAACGCAGTCCCTGTTACCGGCGGGGTTGGAAACACCAGCAGGGGCCCAAATGCTCCAGGCACCGTCAATGCTGTTGGGGCAGGCAATCAGGTCGTTGCCTCCAAACTGAAGGTGGCCGTCCTTCTCAGTCCAGCCCTTGCGTTCGGCGTTCTTGGGGGCGGGCTGAGCACCGGTGGTGTATCCGATCTTACCTTGGCCTATATATAGATTAGTTATATGTCAGAGCAGTGGAATTGCAAAGCAGAATCATACCCATGCCGGAACGATCAACATAGATCTCCTGGGGAGTGGCGGACTTGTCATACAAGTACAGAGCACCGTCATTGATGTAGAAAGTGGCGTGTTGCTCCTGGGGGCGAGCGCAGCTGGCCCCCTGGTTAGGCAGACCAGCGAAGATGCTGCTGTTAGCGGCGTTGAAAGCAGAGTACTGAACACCGCTGCCGGAGTGGATGGAAACGACACCGAAGGTCTTGGACTGGGTCGAAGGGGCAGCAGAGGCAACGGCGCTGACACCGGCGGCGAGGGCGAGGTTCTTGAGCTGCATTTTGGCGGAGGAAGGCGGTTGGTAGATGTGGTTGGGAAGATGGGTAGTGGGCTAAGAAGATAGATTGATGATTTTCAGAATTGACTGAAATCCTGCCTCTCTTTATAACCTTGCGATCTCGATCCCGAGTCCAGAACGGGAAGACGAAAGATGGGCACCACTGCCGTCGGCAAGCTCTATGTCTCACCTATAGACACTATTCTCAGAGCCAAGCATCGGACTATCCCGCAAAATGACATCAATTTGGCCCTTTTATGGGGCAAACTATTGTCTAATCCTGTCTTGGTCCTGTCGATGTCTTGCTTCTTGTCACGAGGTAATTTCCCTGAACTATACGAAATATTCATTTACAGCATATTATAGCTTCTTTTCAGCTATATTTTCGTTCAAACATCAATTGAACATGGTCAACACCTGGGCTCAATACCTCAACGAGATCGTCTGTTTAAATGCCAAGCGCACTCCACACTTTTTTGATGTTTCTCCGAATTGTATCCACGCGATCCCAATCTAAGCAAATCAGAAGGTGATAATAATTTCGATTGCCCCTTATGCCCCGGAGAAACCTACAGAGACCAGTTTTGGCGACTTTCGGGCTTTTTACTTGTTGTGGCTCGGCCCCGCTGCCGTTCAATATTTTGCCACGACAAGGAGTGGCGGGTTGCTAAAAAATACCTAAAAATAGGAATTGCTCAGTCACCCCTGGGGTTAGCTTGCGCTCGTCTATTGTTCTCTCCCTTTTCCTTTTTGGCTCTATCGGATGATCTACACTACTACTGAGATTGCTAGTGAATACTGGTGGCACTGCTGCTAGCCCATCTATTAATATACTCAACTGACCATGTGGAAGGTTTTTTTTTTTTTTTTAGACGATATAGTTATTCACTAAACTTGCTGGAAAATGACACACTCGTGCCATCTCAAGTAGGCACTGATACCATGCAAGATATCTGTCTTTCTGTGGAATTCGATGTGCACCACCTCGATTTGGGATAACCGAGGAAATAACCGAAAGTTGTATTCAGACTTGCAGGCAGAAATAATAATGCAGGTTGCATGCCGAGTGTCTTACCAACGTGGGTTCCTGAAGAGCTATGCTTGTCAACGATCACCTCGTGCTGGCCTTCTCGATGGTTACTCGTTTGCATCTATCCCTCGAGCCGAAAGGTCAGGCTTGGATGTGCTGAGAACTATACCTGTACGCAATTGTACACCTCCCAAATTTCTAGAAATGAGATCATTTCCAAACCGGAAACGTTGCAAGAAAAGTCTCAGATTCTTCTAATCCACGATTGCTCTTATCAGAGCATACCCTACATTGTAATGCAGCGTGACTTGCGTTATGCGAACTGTTGTCAAAATTGAGGTCGATCACACCGGCAAACTAACCCAGTGGTCTAAGTCCGGTTACTACATAATATGCTAGGGGGTCCACCACGATAAAAATATACCTTGGGTTGGAGAGGACTTTATATATTATAGGGCGCAATTAACTTGATGGATGATACTGGGGCTTATTCACTAACTAGTATACCTATGGACCCCAAAATTTGAGCAGTAGGAGCCATGTGTTGTAATTATGTTGTGATCTGAGTCTCGCCAAGCGGTCACGATGCAGTTCTCAGGAGAGAGATACGAGATCCTCTCCAGCATTGGAGCCTCCGTCAGTCGTCATTCTCAGCGCGCGCCCTCAAGGTCTGGAAGCTAGGAGCTTCGGTCTAGCACCGCGCGGAAAGTCTCTCCAAAAATATGACATCGGAGCGAGGTCTTGTGCGAGGATAACAACGATGATAATGATGATCCTGATGATAGCGACTATGTGCACGACAGCGGTGATGACTCACGTGAAGAAAACTCTGCAATTTCTCGCGGAACCAGAGTACGACGAGCCGCCCCGTGCAGCCAAAACTTTCCAGCATAATGCTTTACGCAACTCAGCCAACGACGTAGAATTCCTCGATGTGCCTGCGGATCCGACCCCTTTGACAAGCTTGCGTGATACTGAAACTATTCCTGTCCGAGTTACCACATCCGTGTTAATGGTATCATCGACCTTCAGCTGTTAGAGCTAGCCACACCGGATTACTCGGAATTATTAGGCAGCTTGGCCAAATGCATTAGAAACAATACCAAATTCCGTACCATACCGTAACATACCGGAATGTGACGTGCTGTGGCGGTCCATAAAGTTAAACACCCCGCCTTTCTTAATCGCCTATACCGCCTACATAATTTGAGCTGGTGGGTTTCATCTATCTTGAGTTCACGTCGCATTTCTGACATATTGAAATCTTTCCACGGAGACGAACACTAGCCTTGTGTAGCCAATTATTGAAAGCGAGGAATTGAGTGAGTATGTACACCATATTTGATTAGTTGAATGAAGTTTTTGAACGGCAGAATACTTCAAAAGGGGCTGTGCTGGCTGTGCTGAAACTGATTAGCACTGTAGGAAGCTTGGCGGAATATGCATCCAAATCGGGGTTCTACCCACTTATTTTTGACAAGGTATGATTGGAATTCAAAGTTTCACCGTTTTAACCCTAAATTTACACGTTGTGATTATGGCTAAAGCGAAGAGTGAAGTAAAGTGAGCGTAGATTACAGCAAGGTTCCTTTTATGGATACTGCATCCAATTTCGATTTGAGATCTCAGGTGCCGTCACATAAGGCAGCTCATCTATTCGTGGGCAACCTTGGCCCTGGGGGAGCCCTAGAGGTTATGTAAGGCGACGTGACTAAGCTTTTCATTTTACCTGGATAGGTACCTACCTAGCAGAACTGGATAGCACATTCAGAAAGATGCATCCATATGACAGATAGCGGTCTGCTACTGAATGGAAAGGAGAATTTGATTTATGTATTCAGTAAAGACGATACCTAAACGAAGAGGGTAGGGAAAGCGCATTGCTCTAGCAAGGCTTTTGGAATTGCGATATGCCTATAGGCTTTAGGGTACAATACCCAATAGAAACTGGGATTCTCAACAGGTGTACCTCCAGTGGATCCCTAAATTCACGTCTTTAAAATCCAAACGCTAATGATAGAAAAATTCATGGGTGCTGATCTGCTTCCCGCTTTCGTCGTATCTCCTCGGAATCACAAGCGAGACACCATCGATGCCTCGAGGCTCGTAGTCCAGATTTCGGGCAGCGTATGTAAGAATCTCCAGTCCGAATTGCTCCTTGAGCCAACATGCAACCATATCCATACCCGCAACAGCACCAGCTCCAGTCCAGATATTCTCGTCGACGACCCATTTTTCCCCCTTAGTCCAGTTGACAGCAGGATAATTCTCTTTCGCCCATTTATACCCCGCGTGGTTGATAGTTGCATTCTTTCCATCTAGAAGCCCCGTAGACGCAAGTACGGCTGAGCCAGTGCAAGTCGTGAAAAGCAACTTGCCAGCACTGATGTGTCGACGGATGAGATCAACGTATTTCGGGTGCAGCTTGAAACCTTCGGGATTGGGACCCCTAGCAAGATGATATCGAGCTCGGGGCACTCATCCACCGTTGTAGTCGGGGTGAGGGTAATGGCACTAGTGAATAGGTGGAAGGGCTCTTTCGTGATGCCAACATGATGAAAAACAAAGTCTGGAGCCCGAGAAATAGCATCATCATTGATGGGGCCAAACATTTTGGATACTTCTAAGAACCCAGAATTGGCGGAGTGAAGGAGATCAATTGGGCCGACAACATCAATGGCCTGGTAGTCATAGACCAGAATACCGAGGTGAATAGGCGCCATTGCAAGCACAAACAGGATGCGAGTTCTAAGATGCTAAAACGAAAAGTGTCTTACGACGAATGATCATAATATGCTTGCTTATCTGTAGATTTCCAAATAGATTTTCAGGGCATTTGATACACTCTTAAGTACTAATAGTATACTTGTCGGGAAGCGTGAGACATCGAGTACGTTTTAACGGCAAAATACCGCAAATCCCGGTTTTGAGAGTAAAACAGCAACAGCTTGGCGGCGAATCTAGCCGTTTTAGGATAAAGTATCGCGCAAAGACCGTTAGAGCGGTTCCTTTTGTAAATCATTGCCTAAAAGAATCAGGGGTCCTAATTAGATGTGAACGACATACCTATAATCGTCAATCTTTAGTGCTATTCTTATTAAAGACACAAATACAACCCCCGTAATTTGTAGTATGAGATACAATTTTTCTTTATTTCGAAGCTAACAACGACTCGATAGGCTTTAAAAATGTTTTATTAGGTACAAATCAGGAAGTTTTTCAAGTCTCCTTCCCGCCAGGCACGGGGCTAATAGAATTCCGCAAGGTAGAAATTTCAAGCTTTTCGGTTCTACATGGGCCATGAGTTACTTTAGTTGGTTTTAGCACCTACTAGAGGTATGGAGACCCACACCCGGCTATAAATAAATGATTGCTTAGACGATAAGTAGTCTAGTAATGTTGGCAGGTTGGATATTATGAGGTCATTCTATATATGTCGGTAGTAGCTCGGCGTATTTGGACTTAATGAGTTTGAGGATTCATCTTCAGTCTAGAGCTTGATAGTGTAAGCTTAGGGCTCGAGTATAGTGTTCTATAACTCATATGACGGTTTCATTTCCGTAGAAAACCCCGAGATGTCGATTGTTTTCTTTGGTTGGCAGATTGTGTGGGTACTCTGGAGTCGAGCATATATGGAAAGTTAGCGAGAGGTTCGATGACATCAGTGGTGCAACCGTTGATTATCCTGGTAGAGTCAGACAACCGCTCGGCGAGAGTAAAATCGTCTGCGTAGCTGAGTCGATACTAGAGAGGGGGAAGATCGTGAGAGAGAGGGCTACTAGAACAACGAGCTTTCTTATTCTTCTTTTTGAGAAGGCTACTAAGGTAGTTTATCTGGAGATCAGATGTGCAAGTTTAACGATGACGGGATATTATTTAGTGACTGATCGTCTTTGAACGATTGCTGAAGGATAGCGGCTGGGTATTAACTCAGAAGTTGGAGCGGCACGTCTTGTTCTAGGATGAATCTGAAGTTGGGTAGGCCCCATTTCCGATAATGTTTAACCTATTACGAAGTTCCCTAAAGGAGCGTGATTCATTTCGTGCCGGAAGGTTTTCCCAACATATCTCCATTTCGCCTACTTGTCTCCGGCCGTGGAAAAGAATATGGGTCTTGTAGTGAGTGGCCTTTGATAGTACCGCCGTCGGAATGCTAGAGCATTAAGTCGCTGCCTAGTTTACATTTGTCCGAATTTTCGCCAGCCTACGTGGGGCACATTTGTTTGAATGAATATGGATTAGAATACAGGTAGTCTGCTTGAAACACCAGAATTGGTTGAGTTTAAGACATAGCGAATGATATCAAATCATACGTAATTGGTCGCCATCTTGCCGATTATTTATAGATAAAATTGTTACAGAAATTCTCCCTATATGTCGTAATGAGCCAAATGGGCATGCTCATATAGAGACACACCGTGCGGTACTTTGAAGACATAAAGGACAACCTTGCATCCCTTGAATCCCGCGAGGAATGCTGGCTAGTACTTCTCAACCCTTTACAGTTTTATTTTAAACATCACCTTAGAGATGAGCAACCCAGTCGATGTGCGCTCTATTGATGGAATTGCCAATTTGGCAGCTTATTACCTCCGTCTTTTGAGGCATGACATTACTCCATTTTTACTATCTTTGTTCTACCTGCTTTGCACGGGTTCTCTGTTTTTTGACGTTATTCATCATATGCTTCACCGTTGCAACAAATCGTCTCACCCTCTTTTTCAACGCCTAGCACGTGCTCACCATTTCCATCACCTCTACTTCACACGGCACATGGATTTCGACAAAAAGTATCTTCAGCAGAATCGATTTCAAGCCTTGCCGCTTGAGCTAGCACTCCAAATCGTTGGAAGCGCACTAGGGTATATCTTTGCCAGCCTTGTGACGCCTAACGGCCTCGTGTGGTCCACAAGAAGTCACCTTTGGTCTGCGATTGGGTTTCAGATCCTAAGGACTACTTTTGTCATCCTCATAGGTGGCCGCGACTCAAACCATCTCATCTACAAAACCGCCCCGAAGGACCTCAACTGGATACTTGTGGGCCCAGAGTTTCACGCACTCCATCATGTCTACCCGGATCGTTATATCGGCTCATTTATTAAAGTCTTCGACTGGATCTGGGGTACTGCCTACTCCTTCAGACGTAAGCGTTTTACGATCATCGGAGGAAGCGAAGCATTTAGCCAAGCAATTATCGCAGAGCTCGAGCGTGAAGAAGGGGTAGCCTGCATTCGCAAGTTGAAATTTGGGACTGATTGGGATCATGATCACTTTGAAAAAGTGATCCCAATTCTTTCAAACTCTGACGTTTTAATCCTGGGTCACGGCTCTAATGGCCAGGACGAAGTTGAATCAAATTGCAATTCAGCTACCCGACTTGTCAAATCATTCAAGCAACATAGAGCGATTAACCCCGTCTGCCCGGCGCTTCCGGAGGTATGGTACGTTGGCAGCGAGGTTGAGTTCTATCAGCCCTGGGGAAATGTACAACAACGTTACTCTCAATCGAAACGAAGGTCGTTCCTGCCGCACGCTCGTTCCTTTTTTGATGACCCTGATATAATTTACCGCCACATTGTCCTACCCTCATTTGCTTCATCTATGGAAACTGCTGTGTTCGATGCAGACTGGGCAGCTAAGTGTGCAATGTGGTGGATCCGACGAGGTGCGAGATATATTCCCGTCACGTATACGGGATTTTCGTGTTGGAACTATTTCAAGTTTATGTATCGCATTCCTTATGCGAATGATTTGGATCAAAAGTGAATAACTAACTCTCTCAGTCTGTTGGCGTTACAAATATTGATCAACCAAGTGCACGAAATGGGAGCTTGATTGTACATTAAATGCATCTTAGATATAGCATATGTTGGTTATTTAGAGATCGGTCCGAGAAGAAACTAGTTTTCTTAAATTCGGTTTCTTTTGCATCGCCCAGCCAGCAGTGGTTGTTGAAAGGCAAGCATCTTCTTGAGATCCTGAGGTCCATCTCCTCTTCGAGGATTTCCTCGTCAGCAACAATTTAAAATTCTATCAGCTGTTCTGTCTCCTTCCAGCAGAACATTCGAGGTGCACTTAATTGATTTGGTCGGCAGGCATGAAAATAACTCACTAGAAAATGGCAATAGAGGGAAGGAGCTAATATAAGAGGCATTGATTGACATATTATCCGCACATTTTGCACGCCGGTGCAGTGTGGACGGCAAACCACTGACAGTTTCCATTTTTCAACATAAAACTATACGAATTGGTGCTATGCTGTTAAGCCTCAAGACAATGATATATATAAGCAAAGGACTTGACGATCTTTACATGAGGGCCTAACCCCTAGCATAGTTCTAGAAATCAGCATACACGGAGATCTGTACGGAGAAACTGTATGGAGAAACTGTATGGAGAAACTGTATGGAGAAACTGTATGGAGAAACTATATGCTTATTCCTACCAAACGGGGTGGACGGGAGGGAGAAAGGAAAGAGAGAGCTATTTATAGCTCTCCATGGTGATAGCAAACAACAGGTGCGGTCACTGTGTGCGATTAATCCCCCAGGTCACCCAACAATGATTAATCATGAACAACATCCATCTTTTGCTACCGCGGAAGTTCGACAGAAGCATGAAACATTGACTGGAATGTCAGCAGACGCCAAAGCAACATCCCGTGCAGGTTGAATGAAAGCAGCCTCTTGACTCTTTCCAAGGCGAGTGAAGCATTCGTATAAGCCCTGCAACCCCCAAACATTGTTGAGCTTTGCCTTGCGCCGAGGATAGCCAAGAGCAAAGCCAAGATCCTGTTTGAACAGAATTTCTGCTTCTTCAACACGTCCTTGTTCAAGGAGCAGGCCACCAAGTGCATGACGAACTGGCTGCATCCAAGGTGCCGGATCACTATAGGCGAGTGCATCCTCAAGCATAATGGCTTTCCGAAGGGAATGGAAAGCCGTCTCAATATTGCCCTTTCGATATTCCAATTCACCAGCAAGCATAGCTGAGGCCACCGCGAGAACGTCTTCCTCCTTGCATGGAATGCTGTTGAGTCGGGAACTAGGAACGGCCCTACGCGCTGTTTCGAACTCCATTTGAGCAGTTTCGGCTTCTGCAATCCGTCCAAGTGCACTAAACGCAAGTCCGCGGGTGTAATAAACGGTGGCTGTAGTCACGCAATATGTATCGGGATTGGTGGGAAGCTTGAGATTAAGAATCTCCTCCCAGCGTCCGAATCGTACTAGCACATGCGCCTTACTACCCAAGAAGCTTTCAATGAAGTCTGCCATAGGTGGGCTTTTAGTAGATAGCACTTCCGGATCAATAACCTCTTCAAGCTTTTCTGCAGCAGACATCGCATCCATGAAGCGGCCGGACATCATGGCGGAATACAATTTTGCACAAATGTAATGCACCCGATAGGCCGTGTACCAAACTGTATCCGCCTCTCGGGCAAAATAGATATCATCGGCAAGGATCGCTTCTTGGTTCGAGTCGATACCCCGCCGATAGTCGCCAACCGCAGCGTCAATATGCGTCGGCATGTGTAGCATGTGTGAAGCGTGAGGGACCATGCCACGTAGTCGATCTGCAGCCGGCAGGGCCAATTCTGGAAATGGCGACATCTCCATCATGTGTATATGCAAGTGGCAAATTGCTGGATGATTGCGACCGCTGGTCTGGTTTAGTTGCAATTCAAGAACTTCGCGAGCCTCGATTGTGTGATTCCCGGTTGGTTTGCCGGTGTCCAAGTTCCACAGGCCACGCGGAGTGATGCACATCAGTGCTTCTGCAAATAGCGCAGCCACGTCTCCATCATTGCTGAATTTCTGATACACAGAACGCATCGCGTCCGCATATAGGCAGTCGAAGGGACTCAGATCCTCAGGAATATCGTCGGTCGGTGGGAAACGTGCGCCCATTGCCCGAATCAACGCTTGTTCGACTGGTGTGGCCTGGCTCGCGAGCTTTGACGCTCGGGCGAGGGTATCATTGACTTTCATGATCGAAGTCTGACGATCTTCCGGGTCAAAATACCTCCACGCCTTGTTGTAGTTGGGCCCAGACGCATAAGCAATCCCCCATAGCGCCATAGCGCAATTGGGATCACATTCAGCAGCGCGTTCAAAGCACCGAACTGCTTCGGTATGGTTGAAAGAATAAGCCCATATCAATCCGCGATTGAACCACAATTGGGCTTCTGCAGACGAAGTGGTCACTGATCGACGATACGAACCAAGGTCGTAATATGCCTCTGTGCCAGCTTTGGTGGGAGTATTTGATTGATCCCTAGTTGGGTGTTAGAGTACCAAGCATGTTCAGACTTTCACAGAGACTTACCGCATGTTGGGCTTGTCGAACTTGATGGAATTATTCACAACTCTAAAAACCATAAGATTACAATATTCACCCGGGAAACAGGGTCCAATTTTATATGCATGAATGTTAGTCAATGATTTATCAGCCGTCTATGACACATCACTCCCGCCCAGGTTATTGCAAAGATGAGGGCAGCTATGGTGCACGCCACTGCATCACGTGGGCAGGCGGGATGCCGATAAAGAAAGGTCTCAAACGGATATTCTCCGAACTCGGGGAATACATCATAGCCTTTAAAGGTTCCACATTTGTATACCCGAAAGGATGGATTGGTAATGCAGTAGGGTTAATTGGTGCTCTTGTGTTTGCTGTGTGCTTCCACTGTCAAGAAAAGGTGACGTGGCGAATGACTGAGGCACTGTTGGGTGTAAGAACTAGGAAGTATATCTGTTTTTCTTGTAGCCAAACCCCTCCTATTGAAGTAAGATTGGTGGTACAATTGATGATAAATTGCTGTGAAAACTAACCCCTTTTCCCTCATGTTCCAAGCTGTACTATGAATTACACATGCACTCTTATGTTTTCGGCATCCCACCTGGTGGGTCGCACTGGCACGGCTCTATGTGGGGCTTCCTGTACCCAATATGTCCCAAGGCGGCTAGATTCTCCGCCAAGACTCGGTTTGCAGATTTGGGTATCCAACTAACCTCTGAACCATGAAGATGTCTGACTCATCAAAAGTTCAAATTTAACATTGACATCTTTTGAAGTTCGGACCCGCTGGAAGAATTGAACACTATTAAAAAAAATATTTTCTTGGTCTGGTTAGCTAGTTTCCCGCATCTCCTCCGATGTTGGATACAAGTGGTACCGCAGGCGCTTCCCCTACCATTTGAACACTAGTAGTCAATGGCCGTGGATGCTCAACATTCATCGATATGTATCTACCGGCAGAAATAATCGACCTTGTAAGATTTATGACAGTCCGTTTTTGCGGCCCTACTGAACACCTTTTGGCAGGTTATGTTTTATGTCGAGATTGGCACTTTACAATCTTCACCGAAAACATCAATTGCTCGGCCTTTTCGAATAATGAACAAACAAACCCGAAAGAACTTGGCTGGACTCCGGTTGGTCAACAAAAGCTTTTGTCATAGTGCCTCAATCCGTCTCTTCCGACACATTATAGCCTTAGCCGGTTCATTATGCCACACGACGCACTTGCCATCTGTAGGAAAGCTTGTGGGCATTTCCAGCAGCCAATATGCTCAATATGTGCGTCAAGTCGACCTTGGATATGGCTCCTTACCATGTTCGGTAGGGGATATTATATTATACACGGAAGACCTTGTCGGCCTGCTGTCTTCATGCTTGCGTCAATTTCCCAATCTCAAAGCTCTCGATTTCAGCGGTCCGCCATTGACGTCCTTGTCCCATGATAAAATGAAAGCATCGATCGATCCGATACTCACGGCGTTATGCTATGTGCCTCTTCCCAACTTGACTGAACTTGAAATCCAGTTACCAATGACTAATGATTTCGCGCCTTTGTTTGCCGAGAAAATCAGCACATTGCGGATTCCGATTGAACAGACTCTCAGTCGCCTTCACTATCTGGGATTGCACGTCTATGCGCAAACAAACCAGCAATCCTGTGCGACCCACTTGTTGAGCATTGTGGAGCTTTCAACCAGCCTGACTTCCCTCTCGCTCAGCAGCACGAATTATCTAAATATTGATCGTCTGAAGCTCGGCTCAACGGTTCGCCTGCGGTTGTTGTCCCTGCACAAAGTGAAAATTTCATCTCGAAATCTCGTCAATATTATTGAGCAGTGCAGCGAGTCGATGCAGTATATCGAGTCAAGGCACGTGAAGCTCGAGACTGGAACATGGAGGGAGATTGTGCACGCAATGGATAGTTTACCGCACCTACATGACTTTGACATATCTGTTGGCGAAACTCCCATTTGAAACGCGAGGTTTCATTCAGCCCTGACAACATTCTTCACTGCAGAGAATGTACAGGACTCCGGGTCATTTGGGCTTGGTCATATTACATTTCAAAACCCTCAAACTAAGGATAAAAATGAAACGAGCAGTGGCGCGGCATTTCAGCCGATGAATAAGGCCCTGCTTTGTATGGCATTGAAGATCAAACGTGGAGAATAGAAAGAGATCGTGTCCTCAATGGATGGTTTACTCTATTTATATGACCAACGCATTTGTTAGCGGGTTTCTCACAAGAAGTGGATAATTTCATTCGGCCCCGAAACCGTGGTTTCCAGCCTAGAAACCCTGTCTAATACATAATTATTCTTCCTCACTAACGCTTGGTGATCATTGAACCTTTGGTGCCGGTAAGGACTGAAGTCCTCCTTCTATGGCTTTGTTTTCATACAGTGTAGCCAGTTCTTACGCAGGGAATAGAATTCGGGGGAGGCTGGGCCTACGGTATCGCCTGT